AAAAATATGGTTAGAAGAAATTTTAAAATCCTTTTGTGTCCACAATTTAAATCACTCGCTAGGAAGATTACATAAAAATCTCTCCATATAAAGATGAAGGATAAATTTGAAATCGATCGATAATAGAAGAGACCACAAATTTAACAAATTGTTTGTTGCAGTTACGCAAAAATAATTATTGCAAGTAAATACAAATTACAAAATGTAAATTATGACTGCATAAACGGCGTCTGGTATGTCTAAATTATAGATAAACCATGTTGGTGAAGTCGTAAAGGTGCAAAATTTATTTTTCACAATAATTTACAACATTTTTATTGCACCTCAACAAAATTAGCAGCGCTATAAAAATTCTTCTATTTACTGGATATTTACATAATTTTGCTTTTAGGAAGTCATTTTTTGAATAAAAGACCACTATTGTTGGTGCATTCGTTTAGCTAACATTTTCACAGTTGACGAATTATTTTAATTTTGTTTATATATAGCTACTGACGTTCCCTATCTCCAGGTGTATGAATCACTGGCATCGAATGTGGGATAAAGGAAATGACTTAATCAAGAGTAATAAAATTAGTGGAACAAGAAGAATACTAAAAAGGCTTTTAAGTTTGCAAATATAGAGACAATGATGTTTTAGAATGTACTCGTATAATCCTTTGACCTTTAATTCATTTTTCATTCGTAAATTTAAAATATTATGTTTGTGTTGAAGCAAGCTGGAAACAAGACTTCCACAATGCTATTTCTTTTGTCTGTTCCATTGCTCTAGTGCATTCCTCAACACAATAGAAGATCATGTGGGAAGATTGTCTAAAATAAAATTTTCGCACATTTATTTGCATCAAAGTGTTCCAATATGGCGTAAATTGGTGTTTGATAAGCTATCACGACATTTGATAGGAAATTTTGTTACATGCAGTTCGTGTCGACTGTGTAATCGGAGTTGGGGTTCCGGTTCCGGTGTGACGTACTTCCGTGGAATTTCCGGGTACCAATGCCGTGTTCATTCATGCTGAATACAATGCTTTTTGCAATATTCTCTAATGCAATTTCCTAAGAGTGGTACTTAAATACTCCAATGCAGTTACTAGCCAGCCATTCATGTTTCATAAAGTGGATGACATTGATTTTTGTTGTGAATGGAATACATTCCAACATGACTTATGCAATTCGTGAGTTATTTTTATCCATTTTTCTTTCTAGGAAAAGTGATTCTTTTTTCGCACAGGGTCGTTTAAGGCTGTTTGTTCTCTGTACGATTAATTGAATTATTGTTTAATGTATGTCTTTCGTCATAATTCTCTACTATTGTACAAATACATATATTTATCTACGCCTAGTCGTGACTATGTAACCGTGATGGAATTCGCAACTTAAGAATTACCAGATTTTATCTAGTGCAAACCGAGCACTTTGTGCTACAATCCGGGATCGCATTTCAACTTTTAATAAATAATTCCAATTTACATTTTTATCACTATTGGCCTGAAAAATTGATTCGTCTTCTGACTGCTGAAAATCACTGATTTTTCAATACTTTTTAATTGCCCTGATTAATAACTTGCAAAGAACCCCAAAATACTTTCTTATTATTGTTAAAAGATGTTTTTTTACGTAAGACTTTCTGGTCTAATATCACTGTTATTTGCCAATTACGAAATTTACAATGTAGATAACTTAGAAGATAGAAACCAAAGAAACCAGAGAAAAATTCCAAGTAAGATAAGATACCAGAAACGTGGGAAAAACTATTAAAATATTCTATCTGTCAAAAAATTTTGATACTCTCAACTCTCTTAATCCGTGTAAAAATTAATTTAACCATCTCCTTCGAACAAGAGGGGAAAAGGGGGACCACAGATCAATTTTCTGGCTACTATAGCAAAAAATATCAAATTTTACACAATAAACTATAATAAAAAATGAAAATTCAATCCAACCTTTACTGAACCAGACGGGTGATTTTTCTTAATTAATATTATTTGAGCCAAAAATCCATATAAATGAAAATTAAACAAAAAAATGCACCAAGAGTGCGTTGAATTTCAAACATTTAATCTGACACTTCTGAAGTTGTTGTCATTTCGCGTAAATGTGGTTCACACTCTTTAAGAAAATCAAACGAAAACATCGGTAATTTTTAATTTTTAAATGTTTTTTTGCAACAATTTTTTAAACCAACACATCTGACACTTTCTTAGTCTCCCCAACTGTCTTTTGTAGCAAGTCTGGATTAACATTTTTTTAAATTTCAGCATTTGTTTAAAAAAATTTGAAATGTTCTTTGCAAGTCTAGAAATTTTTTAATCCGATACATCTGACACTTTCTTAGTTTCCACAACTGTCTTTTGTAACACGATGTTTTGAAAAGTCTTGATTGACATTTTTTAAATTTAAGCATTTCTTTAAGAAATTTTTAAATGTTTTTTTGCAAGTCTAGAAATTTTTTAATCCAGTACATTTGACACTTTCTTAGTCTCCCCAACTATCTTTTGTAGCACGATGTTTCGAAACATCTCGATTAAAATTTTTACTACTAAATTTAAACATTTCCCTAAGAATTTTTTTTCTTTTGAAATCAAAAAGTCAGTACATTTAACACTTTCTATTTACTTCAAGCCAAAGTAATCCGAAGTAACCCGAAGTGGCCTAAAGTGACCTGAAACTACTCGAAGAGACTCAAACATTATTTTTTACAATCTAAAAGACACTTAACTAAATAAAAATGAGACTCTTAATCAAATCCGATAGGATTTGACCACATTGATTTTTATCTAAAATTTTATATCTATTTAGTGTTACTGATGATTTTGTACATGTTTTTTATGAATATTTATACACTGGCAGCCAAAATTAATCGGACAACTAAAATTTTGCGATTTTTTACATTGCAATATTTTTGTTGTTCTTTGTCGGACTTCGACGAACTTGGTTTGGCTTAAAGAAAAAACTTTGTAGATCATTGTAATTTAATTCAGTAACATTTCTAGTTTTGTCTTCTAAAAGTGATACTCAAAAGAGGAAGGCACTGTTTTTTTACTTATTTTTATACTGAGCTGTGGTGTGCGACAGAGACAAACTTAAGTTTTTACTAATTTCAGATTATTGATCATTTTTTTCTGAATTATGTACCACATTTTCCATAATTATAATTCTTGAGAAATGAGAGATATAAACCTTAAAAAAAGCATTACATTTCCAATTTCAATGAATGTTCGCCAAATGTGCCAAAACGTCAAAATAGGCACATGGAAGCTTCCAATAATTAACCGTTTAACTTGTTGTAATCCTTTGAAGTTCCAAGTTTTCAATTTTTATAAATATAATTTTTTTCATGTTCCTGATGTCTTACCTTCTCTGAGGCGTCAGTTCTGAAACACCCTGTATTGTTAACCACTCAAGAAATAGACCTCTACACAAAAAATAATTAAACCACTCGTCTGAATCAGCAGAAATAAGTACGTCGATTATGTTGTTAAAATTTTGATCTAATTTTTGAAGGCATGTTAGACACCTTGTATAACAATAATTGAAATAAGGACATTTTTCCATTTTAAAAAAGTTCTTTTTTCCTTTGTTACAAATGGCTCAGATACAAATTTGATAAATAAATGAATAAATTAAATTAATGTCACGCTATAAGCTGAAAAATAGTTGTTTTGTTGTGAGAAAGAGATGTCAAAATTAAATAAATTGTCTCAACAATAATAATTTGTCCTTGCGTAATTTTTGAAAAAAATGCCGTCAGCATACTCAAAAAAATCAAAAACATTAAAATAACAGCATATTATTCTTGTATTAATTAAAGGTTTTTCGGACTACCTATAATAATGATAGTTCTTTAGTAAAAATATTTTTTGATTTTACTGAGTTATCTATCTCGATTTACCATTAGTCTATAGGAAACTTAACAAAGTCAGTAATTTAGTGCAACAAAAAATGGTTAAAAAAATCTTATTAAAGTAAGTAAAAGGTGAAAATACTTTTTAGAAATATTTTTCCCACCTTTTCCTTTTAGGTAAGTCTCTTTTTTTTATTGTATTTGCACTGAAATTTGGACCTTCAGTATTTAATCTTGTGATTTTGAGATTTTATTCTTTTTAGCTTGATTTTACAAAATCCCGTGCCTCTTACTAGTCATTTGCGGTATTCGACTCGATTAAACAATTTTTTCATATGGAAAACACAAATCCTATAAATAGCACGATGACTATTTGTAAATTAAATCCAAGAAAAAAAATCAAGTTTTCAAAAAGAACTAAACATTAACCATTGTCACTTTTATCAGCCAAACACATCTCCGATCAAATGTCTACATCAGTCATCTGATTCGATCGAGTGAAATATTTATTTTTACCAATTTTGCGTACACTTGAGCGCAAAAAAACGCAAATTGTTAAAAAAAAAATTTCAAATTTTTCAGAGATTTACATAGTGTGAAAAAGGTTAGAAAACGAAATGGAAAAACATGGAAAAACTTGATAGAGGTTTGGACAATTATGAAATTGTGAATTGTGACAACGTCAAAAATCTGGCATTTATTAACAGCCCAAATCACATTATAAAAAAATCAATTTGCGTTTTTTTGCACTCAAGTGTACTAAAGCTATAAAAAACATTGAATTTTCAAGCAACTGTTGGAATAGCATGGTGGGCGTTATCGTATTACATATAACGGCAGTTTTGCAAACACCACCTGTAGATTTTGGCGATTTCCGAGTCTCTTTAGCAGTGCTAACGGCGGGAGTGCAGGTGCATGTTAAATGTCGCACCGCATGCAAATGTTGCAATATTTCTTAAGTGTTGTATGTTGTTACCTGAATTTTATTACCTTGTAATCTAATCGTCTGACACTTTGTTACAGCAATTGCCTGAAAAATGGCACAATTACCACCTAACAATACAAAATACAGTTACAACAAAAACACTAAATATTTTTAGAGAAGGAGAAGAGGAAAGGAGTGGTAATGGTCCAAATAAAACTAATCTCATTTTTGTTCAATTGATTTATAACTCTTTATTAGTCTTATATGTGATCATTTTAGTAAAATTTTAAACAAAAACAAAATGTGCACGGGCAGTTTCATTAGATTGAATTAAACAAATCCAAGTCAATAAATGCTATATCAAACTAAATTAATTGAAGAAAATACCTTAAAATACTACGGATCATTTTTCCGTTTATTGACAATTATAGATCTTATCTTTACTATCACAGCAGTAGTTGTTATATTGGCTTAGTACGAAAATACACTTTTATAATACAATTCGTAAGTACAGAAAGAAAAATGAAGAGTAAATTTCCAAATAAAGTACAACTACCAAACTGTTGTAAAATTAAAAGAATAAACAAAAACCCTCACAATAAAACGTAGTCAACAGAAAATAGAATTTAACTAGTCTAAAATTGTCATTTAAAACAAGAATGAACTATCCTAGACCGACGTCTAGAGTCATCATAACAAGAAATCCTAAAATTGCACCCCAGGTTGCAAGTTTCCCATTGCCGCTAGAAATAATAACAATTCTTGTTCATTTTGAATGTAAAAAATGATTAAGGTTAAAAGTGACTCTGACTTTTCACACACCCTAAATGACAAGCACAATTACTAAGCGCTGCTTTTAGAAAATGAATCATAAAATTGAATTCTGGTGATAAAATATATCACGCGCTTGTTTCATGTGACCTGAATCATATTTTCAGAAAGAAGATTTAATAAAATCTGATTAAAATTCTCCTTGATTTTTACAAAGCATGATGTGCAGTTTCTTTAAACTACATATTTTTATGGTGATATTTCTCGCTGCCCGTCCACTTTCAACGAATAAATTACCAGCTCCTAGGAGGCCTCCTTCAATGTCAAACCCGTGTCTTTGCTTCCGAGCTATTAATAATGAACATTTAGTTAAAAGCTTTCCTATAGTTTCTGATATCTGAAGGGTCTTTTACGAACAAATATCCCACTTTGAACATTCTCCTTCCTTTGATATTTTAAGAGTTTGGTGTGTAAAAAGTTTGTAAAAAAATTATTGAAGGATTAAACTTTTGAACTTACTTTGTATTGGCTTCAGGAATAATATCGTCTACAACAACATAGATCATAGCACCTGCTGCAAAAGCCAGAGCGTAGGGTAATGCAGGTTGGGCCAAAGCTACCGCAACGGCCCCCAAAACCCCAAATATTGGTTCTACCATTCCACTAAGTTGGCCATACCTGTAAGAAGACAAAGATAATGTTCCCTGAGTTTGAAATCAATTTTTGAGGATATTGAGTAATAAAGTTAAGACACTATATCCGATTCTGACCAAAAAATCAAAAATTTTTGATCCTTATGAAAAACTAGTACTATATGTAAAATTAACCGGAGAACACGCCTGTATAAACCCTGTTGACCTAAGACTCATAGTTTTTGAGATATTAATTTTTTAAAAAAAAAACTAAAAATGGCTCTGTACCCGGAATCATAACCCGGAGCGATTTCCGGTTTGCGACATTAGATAGATAATTTAAAGTAGATTTTAATGGTTTTTAGCTTTTTGCTCTAAGTCTTATAGTTTCGTAGAAAAACGCTTTTAAAGTTTCAAAATTTTGCCAATTTTTACTTCTTGAACGACGATTACGGCCAAAACATTTTTACTGTTTTTATTTTGTAAATTGCAACAAAATTGTACCTCAATGATATAATGTTTTGACTTAAACATATGTAAAATGTTCCGGGGAATCGATTGGCGTCAAGAAAACTGCAAAATTCCTAGTAGTTTTGAAGTTATAGTTGGATTTATATTTTCGATATTTTTGACTTTATCAGAATTTTCTCAATAACTATTTATCGTAGAACACTGATTTTTTTTTGTATAATAGAAAATTAAATTTGCTTTCTAACGGTACCAAATATAAGAGGTTATTACCAATGAGTCCGGAGTTATTCGCAATAGACCGTTCCGGGTGCCAAAAATCGACCAACAAAATTTCAACGAAAAAAAATCAAAAATGTTTGATTCTTCTGAAAAACTAGTACTATATGTAAAATTAACCGCAGAATACGCCTGTACAAACCGTTTTGACCTAGGACTCATAGTTTTTGAGAAATTATTTTTTTATGAAAAAAACTAAAAATGGCTCTGTACCCGGAACCATAGCTCGGAGCGACTTCCGGTTTGCGCCATTAGATAGATAATTTAAAGTAGATTTGAATGGTTTTCAGCTTTTTGCTCTAAGTCTTACAGTTTCGTAGAAAAACGCATTTAAAATTCACAATTTTGAAAATTTTTAATTGTCAAAATGGAGGTGTTAACAAATTTTTCGTTTTTTTTTTTTATTTTGTAAATTGCGGAAAAACTGTACTTCACCGATGTAATATCTTGATATAGACATATGTAAAATGTTCCGGGGAATCGATTGGCGTCAAGAAAACTAAAAAATTCGTAATAGTTTTAAAGTTATAGTTGAATTTATATTTTTAAAATTCTTGACTTTATCACAAACTATTTATTGTAGCACACTGATCTTTTTTGTATATTATAGAAAATTAAATTTTCTCACCGCTCTGGCTCTGGGTGCCAATAATCGATCAAAATCGCGACAAAAATCAAATAAATTTTCAATTTTAAAATTGATCCATATAACGTTTTTTACATTTCTAAAGGTGTTGAAGATTCAAAAATATGCATAAAACGTTATTGGGTCAAGTTTGAAAAATTAGGAATTTTTTAAGTTTTTGAAGGTGAGTGATAGTAAATCTTAAAATAAAAATATTGGAAATCTCTTAAAATGTTATTTATACTTAAAAAAATTATTTTTTTTTGGGATGAGGAAAGAAAATTGAAGCTGAATTAAAAAATTAAGTAAACAGTAAATAAATTATTAGGGGCTTGGAATTTTGCAAATTTTTTCCATCTAATGCTCTCAAAACAAAAACGTACGAATGTGGGAAAATACTCCAAAGAAATATTTCTGTTATTTCCGGTAAATTATCTAATTTACCTTAACAGTATTTCATATTTGAACTTAATATTTTTGTGAAATAAGAAAAAGGTTGACCAACTTCAAACATACAGATAATTACAGCACCAGATTTCCGATTCCTTCGATATTATAATCATTAAGATGGATATGACCGCAAGAACACTGCATACCATTCGCGACCCTGCAAGGTCGTTTCTTGTTGACTAGAGGCCCCTTTTCGTTGCGTAAGCAACATTTAAAACAGTCGCTATAATGCAGCAGATTTAATAAATTAAAAGTGTTTTTCTTTTTATTTCTGAATGAGCGTAATATTTCCTAACGAAAACGAAGCCTTACTTCAAATGGGTTTATCAGCTTTAAGTTTTAACAAACCAAAAGAATTTTTTCAGGTGAAATGAAATGAAAAGAAGAATCTGTGTTACAACTGCCAACAAGCTCCACTCTTTCATATAAAAAAAGCCTTGTAAAAAGTGATAGACAAAATATAGATTTTTAATTTTTGTTACAAGTTATGAAGCATTATTGTAATAACGTAACTTTTTGCTCGAAAATCAAACCTCAAGTTATACAACCCACAAATCACCTCGTTCACAAAAACGAAATCAGTAAATTTTGCAAAATGATTTTCCTTTTAAAAATTTGATGTGTTTCAAGTGCGAAGTTTTTAGTGTTAGCTATAACCTGCAGTAATGTTATGCACACCAAAAGCTAATTATTCATTATCTCAAATTATTTTTCTTAGAAGTTATAACTAAGCACGTTATATTGGCGTCAATTTTATGATTATGCATAATAATATATGGTTTGACATGGCAAAAGTCGTGGTTCATTATATTTACAACGACAAGACATATTATGGACTGGCAAGCACAAAGTCCTAATTTAAATGTTATTGAGTGTTTATGACCTAGGAGTGGACGAGTCATAGCTTTGCAATTAGCTATTGCTGCATTAGTTGAATATTTAAAAAAAATAATCCAGTAATCAAAATAGGTTTCCATAGGTTTGCTTGTTTAATTATTATTATTATTATTTTTAAGTCTAAAAGCTTGAAATTTTAAAACTACAAAACTGCACTGAAAATATATATACAGGCTGTCCATTAGTGACCTTTAAATGGTAAGATTAAAAAAAATTATATAGGACATTTATACATACTAATCTAGTCCATCGCCTAAAACAGCGTGTTTCAAAAATAAGTTACAATACAAACTTGCGTTTTTGGATGTAGATTTTTATAACAATGTTTTTAATCTAAATTTTTATTGGTCGATTTTGCTTAGATTTAAAAATTAGACGGATTTTTGGAACAGCCTATTTATTGTTTTTGCATTTAAAAGATTATTAAATTTTCTTTCTAAAATTATTTATTTTTAGGTGTTTATAATCCATAACCAAAAATATATTTAACGTTAAACATTAAAAAAAATGCTATTGTTTCAGTAGCCAAAATGTGCACAGTTGCACAAGAGTTGGAAAAAATATCACTTAATAATCACATTTGTGTTAAACTGAATCCATTATTCTTTATTTTTACAATAAAATAATTCGAATTTCAGTATAACGACTTTTACAATCTCTGGAAAAATCAACGGATAAGTGAATGAATGTTAAATATCTTTTCATTTATCAATTCTAGACATTAAAAGTTTATTTTTTTATATAGACAATTTATCAATCTATTACATAGATGCAAAAATAAAAAATAGGGTGTTTCATTTAAATTTTTTAAGTTATTTAACTTTTAACAAACTTCTTAATTTATCAATCAGTTTTAATTTCTATACTTTCTTTTTGGCAGAAATAAGAAAAAAAAGTTCTAGCTGTCTTAGTTTTTGTGTAATAAATTTTAAAAAAGTTCATGTTTTCGTCAAAAAAATAGTCTTATTTCTAAAACTAAGCGAGATCGACTAATAAAACACTGTTTTAAAAGGCTACATCCAAAAATACAAAAAAACAGAGTGTTTCATTTAAAAAAACACAAGTTTGTATCGTAACTTATTTATGGGACATGCTGTATAGTTGAAAATAATTTTAGGTGATGCACTAGATTAATATGTATACAATTTTTTTTAATTTCACCATTTAAAGGTCACTAATGGACTTTTTAACCCGCTGGGACAGCCTGTATAAGGGTATAATTTTTCAACATAGAAATAAAAATTTTGAAGCAATTCTCCAAGTTAATGCGATGCATTTTCTTATTTTATCTTGCCCTAAATTCGGCCCTAAAATATGTATGTAGAGGGCGTGACGTCCGAGAGTTAGCCAAAATGTATAAATTTTGTAACAAAATAGAACAGATTAATCGGCTTATAATTTGGCCCAGCGACATGAATAATTTGTATTTAACTTTCCTATTTCTCTCTCTATTTTAGTTCTTGTTTAACAAAATCACATATTTATAATGCCAATTTTTACTTCCCTCAAATCACATTTTCCTAAAAAGTCTTAAAATGTTTACTGCATATTTTTATGCAACAAAAATGTATAAAAAAGCATACAAACACACAATGACCTAAAAAGATATGTGTCCCACATACTAACGAAATAAATTCTGCATTTGATTGCAGATATTTCTAACAAACGCTGAACAATAAGTATTTAATGTAATTACGACAATAATTAGGCGTTTGTTATGTATGTCTTTTCCCTATTTGATGTAAATAAGAATCTACTTTCCTTATTGTTAAGTGGAATAAATTCAATGTTGGAATTTCTGCTATGCAGCGCTCTCATTTAATAGTAGAAAAAAAAAACACAAATTAATTTATTGGGTATGCAAAATAAAATGGGTAGTAAAAAAGTGATCAGTAAATAATTCAATTTTGATCAGAATAAAATGATAAATGATCAGTATTTAATTAATTTTTGCACAGTAAAAATAATAAATGCTAAGTAAAGCACGCACAGTATTTTATTGTAATTTGTTCAGTAAAAAAATCCAATTTGCGCTGTAAAAACAAATTTAGGCATAATTAGTAAAACAACATAAAATTTAAAGAATTTTCAGTCTTGGTTACATAACAATGTATGGCCCCTGCCCAAGAATATTATTTATTATTGGTACTTATTTTTATATTACTAAATACATATTTATTATTTATTATTGGAGGGTGGTATATGTATTAGCAAGGGCCCCTGCGCAAGAATGATTTTAGCCAGACCTGGAAACTGCGCACAAATGGTAATCAATTTTGTTTTTGAACACTTTGCGATATTCCGATTTTGCTCGGAAACATTTTGTTTGTAAATGTGTGAATATTAAATTAATTAGTTTTATGAGACATTCATTCATTGTCTTTACTGTGCATTTAATTTGTTCCCAAATAAAATGTTACTTTACAAAGAAGATAAAATATGCGACATTAAAAAAAATATTGCGTTAATTCTAAAAAAAAATCTCAACTGCTGGTTTCAGTACCGTGTCTTACATTCGTAGGATAATTTTGGAGTCCCGTTAGAAAACCATTTCTCGGAATGTTTAAAAGATTTTGTTTCATTAAAATTGCCAGGTAGGAGTCGACTAGACAACCAGTTATAACAGAGAAAAGCCATGAATGAAACCATTTGTGAATGAAAACTTTCTTCCTCTATTGAATAAAAAAGAAAGCGGAAGTAGATAATGACCAGTCTTTCACATACATCACACTAATTTTGAATCGTCAGATAAGCAGACTGACGGTGAAGAGTGAATGTAGTAACTATGTCATGAATTAAACAGTAGATAAGATCAAATAGACACTTTTAATTTTGTTTTCTTTTAAAACGGATGACATTCTACATAAATGTGTGTCGCTTAGATGTTAAGTTCTAAATTTCAAATTCAAATAAAGATGAAATTAAATTTAGACCACAGCTTCATACCACCAGATTAACTATAAAACAAACAAAGACATTGACCTAAATTTCGAGGTCGCATACCAGTGACGTTACTTATCACTTTGATAACACACGTGTTAAGCCACGATTAAATTATATTATTCCCGGGTTAATAACACACACATATGCAATTTGTAACGCCGCTGTAATGCATTTTCAAGTATTGTGCTGGAAGCTGCAATCCACTAAAGTAGGTTAAGTTGTTTGGAGTAAATTTGCAGTTTTTACGCGTTTCCAACATCTACATGTAAGTCTTGTATTCTAATTTATTTTCTTGTCAAAAAAATACATAAAACATAAAACAATTCACTGCATTAAGAGAAAAATTAATTAAATATTTATTTTGCAAAAGTCACAAGTAGAATATTTTTTAAAAGTGCTCTCAAAGCAACAAAAAAATCCATTAATATTAGATTACACAAAAACAGAAAAAAAATCAGTTCACTTCTTTCATAAATTAAGACAAGAGATAAAAAATGCAAATTTGATTTAATTGCAATTAAAATCTTCTATAAACTGGTCCTTAATCCTCAAATTAATTGATCAATGTACATATTATCAAAACATGATTCGATCATAAATCCTTTTCCTTCGTTTGTTGTACCAACAAAAAAAAAATATTTTTAACACCTTCGAATATCTTTTAACATGTAATAGACAAATCAAATGACTTTTGGTGAAGCTTTTGTCCATTTTTTTAAATAGTAAAAAAACAGGATTAATTTCTGGTAGTTTAATACTCTCGCAGTATTTCAGTGTAACTTTTCAAAAAAAAAAAAATGTAAATACGTACCAAAAACTTCTCCATGTGGAAAATCCGGCTGCTTGAAGAGGTAAACTTACAGCCAGTCCTTCAGGAAAATTCTGAATTCCTATACCAATCGCAAGATTTCTGCAACAAAATATCAAATATCTAGCATACAATTGTACTAAAAATACAAAATATGTTTCAGTAATTTTGTTCTTTTGAAATAAGAAGAATTCACTTGACTAATAACGAGGTATGCACTTTGTTTATCCTTTTAATAATGATGAATAAATAATATGTGGCCTTTAGGATTAATTTACAGTCAATTTGCTATATCAATCTATCTCTTATGAAAAATTTATAGATCAAGGTAGAGAGTGTAGTGATAGTTGAAAGAATTCTATGCTTCTCATGTAATAGTCAAGTTATTAATAAACTATGAAAAAATAATTGGAAAGTATAAAAAATTAAATGAAATTGAAGGTATAAACCTTTTTTTTTACTTCAATAAAATCAAAAAAAAGTAAAAAAGGATCAGATATTTCCAATTCCATTTAATTTTTTTTTGTAAAAATGATAATTGCAGAATGGTAAAGTTGGTGAAATTTAAAACCGTAAAAAATAGAAAGAGCAACGTTGTTAAAATTTAGTAAAGCAGTAGGAAGAATATCTGCGTGGGGTCCCAGTCAATGAGGAAGAACACTTCCCCAGGAAGCTAATATTAACTTCAGCATCCTTTACTTTCCATCCATGCGTTGCCACGTTATTTATGATAATTCAAAATTATTATATTATGGGTTGATAAAAATCATAAAATAGGTAAGTAGAAGGGCACAATTATTCAAAAATGCATTAAAAAACTGCTTTTCTGTATATAGAGATTAAAAATTCTTCACTGGCATTATTTATAAATACTGTTATTTGTGCATGACTCAGTTTTTTAAAATGGCTTTTGTTACTTGTTCTTGAAACATTATCTAACCCTAAAAAGTCTCCTGATTATGACTTTTCCTTTAAAATAGGAAAACACTACTCAAACTCCCTAAATGTTTCTTTTGGATTCCAATCCAGAATTTAGGTAGGTTCAATGCCTTAACAGGCATATTCTTTTTACCGTAAATTCTAGGAACATTTTAAACTACCGTAAATATGAAGTGAAGTACACACCTTGTAATGGTGACTTCGGTAATATGATTATGTCTAGTCCAAGAATAGTGTGTGAAAATATGCAACAGGATGTTGCAGTGGTTTATTTACATAAACGTATTGTTTGTCTCTTTTAAAGCAACAACGAACACCTCAACATCTCTAACAGTTTGAACAATTTCTATTGCACATTTAAAGTAGCAAATTGGTCACGTATTTGCGTGATCACTAAACTCCAAACATGACTAATTAAAAGCGAAATTCATAATAAAATAAATAAAAACACTATTTTTGTATCTTAAGTTTTAATCCTATTAGAAGCCTCTAAAGTTGAAAGTTTGAGACCCAAAAACGGTCCCAATTTTTTTTATTTAATTGGATTTTTGACTCAAATTTGAAACTAAATAGTTCTTAAAATCTATTTTTTTATACTCCTTCCAACATTTAACATTTGATGCACTGTTGTGATTGCATTTTTGGATCCCTGTGTAGAATTAAATTAAATAGATTAAATTCGAAGTTTTTGGTTTTTCGATTTTTGACAAAATTTTGGACCGTTTTTGATACCCGGAACGGTCTACTGCACATAACTCCGGAATTATTAGTAATAAGTTAATAACATCTATGTGTTTGAAAACACTTTCTATGTTATAAAAATAATAACATTGTCTTAAGATAAATAGTTATCGAGAAAATGGCTGATAAAATCAGAAATATCGAAAATATGGATAAATTCGACTACTAAAAAGTATATTTTTTTAAGAATGTCGTAAAAACGCTTGAAATAGTGTCTTCTAGACGTAAAACTACGTTGCAGTAGGTTAAAAAACTCTGTGAGTAGTTTTTGAGACAATATAATAATAACAATAAAGGTCTTTATTAATAAATTAAAAATAATAGAAAGATGCGGAGGCGAAGTCTAGCTTGAAACTATTCAACTTAACCTCAAAAGAAAATTAATAGAAAAAAAACAATTATAACATAAAAATTAAAACAATTATTATAAACAATATAAAATTTAAATAAAAATAAATTCGGAAGTTACTTAATAACTAAAAGTAAAGAAAGAAACCATTGTCAGTCTCTCAAAAACAAAAAGAAAAAACAAGAAAGAATTCTTTAAGAAGAAATGAAAAAAAAAAAACAAAAATTGAACAGAAATAAATTCTTTTGCGTTTATTTTTAACATTAGTCAACTCAGTTAAACAAAGTTAATTATTCAAAAGCAAGTTCTTAATTTGACTCTTGAACGTAAACACTGAATTTCCAGAATTAAAGATTTCGATGTATTTGTTATATGTTTTAATAATTATAAAGTTAAAAACTGAACTATAAACACAAACTTCGAATTCAGAAATTTCCACCCAGATCTATGTTACATTAAATAATTTTCATCAGCAACGCATTTAAGCGACTTGAATGATTTTTTAAGAAATCATTTCAGAAATGAAATTCAACACAGTAATTTTTTTTTCATTTGCGTTGAAAATAGTAGTAATTTCCGTCTTAATGCACAGCAGTGTATGATGATTTCCTAATTGAAGTGATTAAAGACAGTACATAAATCGGTATTACACAAAATTAATATTTCTCTTGTATAATTAGTCTTAATTGGTTTAAAATGATTCAGTTTATCATAAAAAACACGTTTATGCAACGCGATATCCCGTAACAAAAACTGAATGATGTACTTAATGAACATTAATTTCAGGTCTAAAAAATTCAGCCAATACCGCAACTAACCGGAACCAAATAAAAACTAAACTTATTATAGATCAGTTCCCACACTAATATGCAATTGTCGTATGTTTATTCTGGTCCTGGCCGCCACCCAGAAGGTACAGTAAATAATTCAATTTTGATCAGTATAAAATAATAAATGATCAGTATTAAATTAATTTTTGCACAGTAAAAAATTAAAAATGATTAGTATAATAAATAGTAAAAATAATAAATGCTAAGTTACTGTATTTTACTGTGCATTTATTATTTTACTGTACATTTATTATTTTTACCATGTATTTATTATTTCACTGTGCATTTATTATTTTTAGTGTGCATTTATTATTTTTACAGTGCATTTATTATATTACTGTGCATTTATTACTTTTACTGTGCATTTATTATTTTTATTATACATTTATTATTTTTACAGTGCATTTATTATTTTACTGTGCATTTATTATTTTACAGTGCATTTATTATTTTACTGTGCATTTGTTATTTTACTGTGCATTTATTATTTTTATTATGCATTTATTATTTTTACTGTGCATTTATTATTTTACTGTGCATTTACTATTTTTACTGTGCATTTATTATTTTACTGTGCATTTATTATTTCGCTGTGCATTTATTATTTTTACTTGCATTTATTATTTTGCTGGGCACTTATTATTTTTATTGTGCATTTATTATTTTTACATTGCATTTATTATTTTACTGTGCATTTATTACTTTTACTGTGCATTTATTATTTCGCTGTGCATTTATTATTTTTACTTGCATTTATTATTTTACTGGGCATTTATTATTTTTACAGTGCATTTATTATTTTACTGTGCATTTATTACTTTTACTGTGCATTTGTTATTTTTACTGATCAAAGATCCACCTGCGCCATGAAAGTTGGACCTGGCGGCGGATATGGGCCGTCAGACTATGATAATGATAATATTAAAATAGAAAACATATGCACGTAATATGTGTAAGTTTCATTATTTGTGTGACCCAATGACGCGGCAGCGACATGAATGCGAAGAATGTGCCGGTACGAGGTGTGGGGTTCGATTCCAAGAAGCGACGGTGTAGATTCGCGGACAGTTAGAATGACATGTGCCGGTCGACGACCTCGTGCAGGACCCTGCTAATACCATCTCCTCCTGCTGCTGCTGCTGCTACAGACTGCAGTGTTCGCTGAAAAAGACGACGCGCGAACACGCATTATCCTTGCTGTCCTGCCGGAGCTTTTTCAGCAGGCGGCGAGCTTTCAGCGGTTTTGAAGCCTCAATTGCAATATGAAAAATACAAAAAAGACGCTTTATTCTAGTCTACAACTTTTTAAAGGCCTTTTATTTATATTGCAGTAAATATTTCTGGAAATCAAAGCGTTTAAGGATAACAGTTGCTGTCTCAGGAATTTCCCTTTTCCCACAAACATAAAATAATAATAATAAAATTCTACCATTTGCGCAGGAATTCGAGTTTTTCGTTTAGTAGTGTTGGAAAATGGAATATGTTTACTTGAAGAGAATAAGTTCTCAGCTGAGATGATTTTGATATACAGGGTGATTTGTAGCACATAGTGATATACTAGATTTGAGTCTCACAATCTAATGCAAAGAATGTAAATTATTTTCTTGTTCGTCTGTCTTTTTATCGTTTTGCAATATCTTTTTTTGGTTACCTAAATTTGTTTACAAATTTATGACATTTTTGTAGAAACCATATTCAATCTTCACCTCTTATTAAAAAAAAAATATTCAGACATCCCAAATTTCACAAAAAAAACAATAATTTTATAACGTACAACAAACATTTTTCATGTCACTTTTTTCATAAAAAATCAGACTTTGAGCTTTAATTATGCCCAAAAGCTTTGTGATTATTTTGAGATTATTTTTGTTACAAGTACCTAAAATACAGTTTAAGCACACAAAACGTTGCTGTAGCAGAACTATATTTAGGTACGAATTACAAACAACATTTTTTTTCTTAAAGCTACCAAAAATTCAAATCTCTTATTATGTATGACGATTAATGTGATCAGAGAAAATATTTCTCGAAAATGGTGAACTTCGAATTTTAATTATCATGACACCATAGTTACCACATTTTTTTCGTCCGAAAAAACTATATTTTAGGTGTTTGTACCTAGGGACCTAAAATACCGATTTTTGGATATACAAAAATAGTAACTTTTGTTACAAGTATCTACAATACAGTTTTTGCAGACGAATCGTTGCTGTTTAGCATATAAGTTCGCAAAAACGTTTTAG